CATTCACTCCCATTTACCTGCAGTTTTTTAATCAGTTCATCATTTTTCTGGTTAAGCTCCAGAGCTGCTCTAGAATCCTTGGCTGATTGCTCTGCAAGGCTGATAAGATCATTCAATCGGTCAGCCAGCTCCTGGATGCTAATGGCAGCATCAGTCACATTGGTCAGCTTGGACTGGAGGTCACTTATACTGGACTTGAGTGCCTTGGCCAATCTGAACAAAAATTGATGAATTATTGAAGAAATTCTCTCCATGTATTAGTCATTTGAAAAAATGAATAGTTTTTTTAAGTAACCATCTGGTGCACTGAAATGCAGTTCCATTTCTGGATGATGATCTTGCCGTTCATCTAAATTGATCCTTAGCAATTGTATGAATGGCCCACTTTAGTACAAAATACTCATTTCAAATATGACTTTATCTAACTGGGTAACTTACTCTAACTCATTATCAGCATTCTCAATATTAGGTTTGAAATCCCTCTCTCTGATCATCTTCATTATGTCCTGGGCCCTTATCATTACTGAGGTCAGGTTGACATTACCAGACAACTGATGTACATCTGGGAGGTTGTCTAGGAGATCTGATAAACAAAAGTCAAAGCAAAATAAACTACAACAATATTAATTATGTAATATTGCTTCTGATTTCCTGGTTAATTCAAATCTGTCACTGTGCACTCTCAAATTCACTGGCAAATATACAGTTGACAAATTATAAATTTGTCATTTACTTTTACTATCTACTAGTTCTGTCAATACAGGTAAGATGTGTTTGGTAATATGGCACTTCAATATTCCATAACTTATTCTCACCTCTGGCTGAAGTTATTATCTCTCTGATCTCTTTCTCCATACCATCTGCAGTTTTGCTTAGGTTTGATGCCACCATGCTATAACCCATTGCATCATTTGCCATACTGGAAGTCTGTACAACACAATAAACAGTTAAGTAATTCCTCAGTGCAAAGTTATGTACAATCATGACATTGCTGACATAAGAAAATTTTTTTTTTTAATATGTAACTCTATTTTCTTTTTCAGTGCATAAAACGTGGACGTATGTTCCAATATAAGTAACCACAAAATTCTAACCCTTTGCAATAAATAAAGTCCTCAAAATGACAGAAGCAGTTGGTCTCTATGCCCTACCTGAGTATATAACTTGGTGGCATTGGCCTGAAGCTCTTTAACAATGACCTCCATATCTCCCACTTTGACTTTCCTTATAGCATCCAATTTGCCCTGGAATTTGACAAGGGGATATAGTCATTCTCTTGGTGCTTCTTTGTCATCACTTTATGCTATAGGTTATGGTTGTATTCTATGTAAGATTAACTCCTATATAATATAGCTGTGAATCAAAGTAAATCAAATTTGCACATCACCGCCCATTTACCCAGCCATGCAAACTAACACGTTACCATGCATGTTACTGGTACCTCTAATCAAATGTCCAAAGAAGTACCGCCATCACACTCAGATTATCTTGATTTTGAGAAATATTCTGACAGTAGTACCTGATGACTCAGGGGATCATAAATCCTCTCCTGTGTGGTATACAACTAACACACTTACCCTAAGAACCTGGGTCTTGTTCTCCATGGCAAAGAATCTCTCCCATGGAATCACCACCATGGTGGACGTGTTGACCCCTCTGACCATCACCTCCATCTCATCTACTGCCACCATTAAGTCTCTGGTACAGCCAACATCACATGCTGTAAAATATAGAGAATATACAGTCTCTGGTTGTATGCTTATAAAAATTGAATACAAGGGCATGAATTAAAAATATAAAACACAAAAATCCAAGGGTAACAGCAAATGGCTAAAATGGCAATTTGTTAAACAATACTGACTTGTTATGTACATTGTATATGTATGTATTGAGTAAAGCAAAATCATACATGAGTGAATTTTGGTAATTTTGACATTTCTGACATCTTGCCACATATAATGTACATTACCTATAGAGGCAACTTGTTTGATAGTATTGCTAAGATTGGCATTAAATCTATGCAGCTTAAATAAAAGTTGAAACAATGATGATGCCAAGAATGCAACAAAAAATAGAACTTTTGTGCCTTACATTTACATCTTCCATTAACAACAGCATATCTAGGCTGACACTGGTCACAGGCCCTGCCCAGTACCCCAGGGTGACAGATACACTGGCCACTCTCCCTGTCACAAAGATTGTCCAATGAACCATCCTCACTGCAGTCACATGGTACACATTCCCCACCCAGCTTGGTAGGATCACCATAGAAATAGTCAGAACATCTGAAACAATTTTAAGTAAGTCCAATAAAAATACTTATTGCATAAGATCTTCAAATAGAGTAATTTGTGGACATTTCAAATGAAATAGCATAAAAAAATATAATACATATTGCCAAGTTTTACTTCAGATGCTAAAGAGTGAAGTGACAAGATAACAAAGAAATCACAAAGCTAATGAGATGTTACCGTTCACAATGATCTCCTTCATATCCCCTTGGACAGGCATTACACACATATCCATCGGCTGTGGCATTGGTCACACAGGTGGGACTGAAACTGAAGAAAACAAGAACACCTAAAATTGAATTTGCCAAAAATGCACAAACAAATATTTTTATGCATGTTATGTAATAATGCAAAATTTTTGTGCAAAAACATTTTGAAGAGAACAGGCTTAAAATCAAATTATTATAATTTTACATCTTACAAGTGAAAAAACACAAATAAGTCTGGCTATCTCTTACTAAACTTCATAAATAATAATGGTCTTCTATGATAAAGGTTTTTCTTTTATCTTACAAGGGGTACACAGGATGATTATACTTACTTATTCTGTGGTTCCAGTCTGGGACATCCACATGGTTGACAGGCATCCTCTCGCCCTGATGTGGCATTTCCATAGTAACCTTCAGCACAAGTATTACAGTGGTCACCTGCTGTGTTGTGAGCACAGTTCTGAAAGTAGTCATAGGTTATGGTTGTGTTAGGTGTGACTGCTGAAGTAATGATACATTAAGGAGTTAGGAGTAACTGCACTGATCGCAATCATTGGAAAAAATATTTTGAGTCAAAATGAAATCAAAATTGCTCCATTTGAGAACAAAATAAAGCAGTTATGAAGAAGTAAGTTTTTCCTTACCAAGCAGACTCCAGTCTCCTTATTGCACATGTCACTGTGGCCATGACACTCACAGGGCTTGCTGATTCCTAACAGCTTGATAAGCTCAGGCTCCTCAAGGTTACTGGATGGGAAGAAACGAAAGTAGCCAGGGGCTGGATCCTGAATAAGAGTTCAATTTAGAGTTGAAAGGTAGGTTCCTTAAACACCATGCACCTTCTATAACATACTGCAGCATTAAACTCATCTCCATAATTAATACGTTTATATATAACATGTAATTTTATATCTTTAACTCACTATTATATTGAACTCAACAAAACTCTTGGCTCAAGATGCATAACAGCACAATCATTAAAAAGCATCATGCACAGTCCTATATACTGATCGCACCAATTTAATCTCCTATAGGCACAACATCAAACATACAATTACACCCCAGTTATAGTACCTGTCTTAAACTCTGTGGTGTGAAACAGACAGAAATTGTTAATACTATCACTCTGTCACACCTAGCACACTGCCATATGTAGCACACTATCAACTGTCTCCCTCACTGTCACATTATACCTGACAAGAATGTCCTGCATACTCAGGTGGACACTGGCACCTCTCCACACCCAGAGCAGCCTCTCCTGCACTGGCATTGGTGGCATGCTGCAGACTCAACCCACGGATCCTATAATTTACAATGGTTTACAATGGTTGTTTTTAAAGAACCACATAAATATAATGACATCAATCTAGCAACCAAGCTTAGAACTTTTTAAGTCAAATAACAATTTACCAAAACATATTTCAGTGCCCTTTTTATAAAAATGCTTTACTTTAAAGCAATAATTAAAGCAGTCAAAAACCCCAGTCCATCGTGAACCTTGTCTCAGTCTATCCTGTATTACAATAACTTAATCTTGATAAGTTATCATTGTTTCAGTTAGGCATCACCACTTGACAACCTGTCTACTTACTCAGCATATTTGAGATTAGAATTCCCTGATGCTCGTATCTTGATGCTCTGTAAATTCTGCAGTCCCACCATTAACATCTCTCTGGTGACTGGCTTGCTGGGCTGGAGGGGGTCTGTCCACTGGTCCTGGAGATAACAGAAACAATCTTAACATTATATCACATCTAGATCATCACACAAAATCAATTTGATTTGCCACTTGATGATGAACAATAAAGGTGTGTTTATATAAAACAACAAAACATATCTTACCTCTCTCAGAAAAATCTCAAACTCATTCTCCACTCCAGGAGTTAATGGAGCAAAGTAGTCCAGGACTACACGGAAATTCCCAGTAATACGAACAAGTGGGAATCTTCTGTACTCAGAATGGTCCACTATGGGGATAGGGAGTGTGTTCAGGGAGTCTTGATCTTCAAAGTAGATCACAAACTTAAGCTTGCCATAGTAAGACAAGGTCTGAAAGAAGAAAGAACTAAAATACTGCAGACCTTAAAACAACACTTTTTTTCATCTCAGATAGGCATTAACTTGACTACTGACACTAGCATCAGTTGCCTTATTTTTATACTGCAAGGTCGGATCTCTATTGCTGACATACATGCATCCATTTTTAATTTCAAATTTTTATCTTCCAACTTTGACAATTCAATTTGTTTATCATCTAATCACATATCACATTCTTCCACCCACAACTCTTACAATTTGTCACAGCTATAACCTCCTAACCTTATCACCCAGGAACTTCCTGGGAGCACTCCAGTATAGAGGGCGCTCCTCATCAGGTGAAGTGACAAAGATGGCATCTGCATCTGGAGGGATTACATGAAGGGCTGGTTCAATTGTGGTCACTGACACACCATCAAGTTGCACTCTTACACTCCTTGTAGGCATTTCAGTCTTAAAAAACATATGCGATACATTTCAATTTATGCTGTGTAAAATAAGACATTCACTGAAAATAACATCAAACTCATGTCAAGCTAAACCCTCTATTCCACCTTGAATGAAGTGAACATTGAAGTGGCTGCTTTTTTGAAAGGAAATACCAAACAAGAATATTTACTTTTCTGTTATTAAGATGATGCATTTATTATTGTACATATCTTAAAAATTAAACAATGTTTACTTTACATTGGCTTCACTGATAAATTGCTGTCAATAAACAAGCTTCCTAAAATATATTTATTTGAAACAGTCTCAGTCCCTCATTAACTTTGACTTGGGCAACCAGAAATAATATACACAACTTCCTAAATAGCTTAAGCAGGCATTCTTAACCACCACATTTACCATGTTCCATGTGAGCTGAGCTTGTTCACAAATGTTTGACTTTCCAAAACAGAAGCAGGAAGTACAACCTTCAGGGTTGTTGGACTGCAGACTGAAGCTGCCTTCTTTGCAGTGTTTGCACTTCAAACCCTCAACATTCCCCTAAGAAAGGAGAATACACAATTTGTAACTAAAAACCTACATACAATAAAATCCATGTCAAATCAATATATATTAATCAACCTAATATAATGACTAAAATAATTGATATGATGTAAATCAGATCTTACTTATTCTACATTTTACTCTATAAATGATTAAAAATGTGTACCTTTCACTCATGTTACAACCAGTTTCTTACATAAAGCTTTTTCTTTTGGTCATTTTAGCAATACATCACCCCCATGTTAACAGAGCCTAAACCTACCCTGCAAGGACACTGTCCATCTTCTTGGCACTGACAGTGACCTTTGGCATTACAGTCAGACATGACGGTTCCATTCTCATTACAGTGACAAGGACGGCAGTTAGGGAATCCAAAATGCCCAAAGCGACACATGTCACATTTCATGCCATCATACTCTGGTCTGCACTCACATTGACCATCCACAGTGTCACACTGAGTGTCCAGGGAACCAGTCACGTTACAGTTGCATTGCTGAATGCAAAGAAAAAGAAAATATGCATACATTTTTTCTTGAATTCACAAAAATGATGAAAATATCTTTTAAAAATTTTCATTAACTAAATGAGCACCCAATTTTATTGCTAAACATAATAATTTCAAAATTAATAATTTCAGCACAAATCAAAAAGCTTTTTGGTACATCAAACTCTTATTTCAAAAACTCACTGCAACACACACCCCTTCTTAAGAATTAGTGGCATTAAGTATTTCTATCCTTGTTGACACCTGTTACATCTTACCTTACATCCTAACAGCTGATCATGTCCCCAGGTGTCTGGCACACAGCGCTCACACCTGTCACCCTCAGTATTGGTGGGGCACACACACTCTCCTGTCACTGCGTCACACACCTGCCCAGCCACAGGGCACACAGGACATTCTGGAGAAGAAAAAAAGTATTAATTATATGGTATAAATATATTTCTGCACATTAGTAAATCATGCTGAATCAGTGCACAAGCTAAGGTGGTTGACTTGAAAACTAAACAGAACTGTGTTAATTGTTACCTGTGCAGCCATTTGAAGAGAATCCATAGTATCCTGGTCTACACTGATCACATTTCTGTCCAGTCACTCCTGGCTTACAGGGGCACTGACCACTGGTCAAATCACACTGCAGTGAGGTGGAACCTGTCACATCACAGTCACATGATTGACAGCCATTGCCAGAGTCTAAGTCATAGTAGTTGATCTGAAACAGTGGCAAAAATTAGGAACAGTACAATATTATTGTTTGTGATTAATTCTAATTACAGAGAGCAGTGTGAATATTTTTATAAAATTATCTTTCAAAGTCAAATGTAGCAACCTTTGTGCTTTACAATTTTGCTATAATCAAATTCTGATGACAGTTTGCGTCATTCTATCATCTCAAAACTCTGAATTGTGGTTACTTATGCTACACTTTCCACACCAACATAAAACTAAAAAAGGAACATATCCAACTACCACTTTGGCCACTGTTTCTTAATCTTTCTCAATAAAGCAACTACTTTAACAAAGCACCATGGCCAGAAAAATCGCTATCTTCAAAATTTTTCAGTTGTGAGAGTTAACACTGCCTACCTCACACTGGTCACATTTGTCTCCGATCACATTAGGTTGACAGGTACATGTCCCTGTCACCAAGTCACACTGGCTGTCATTAGAACCTTTCAGGTGACAATTACAGGCTGGAATACACAATCAGCAACCACAGTATTGTTATTTAGATTAACACTCTTCAAAAAAAAAATTCATATGATTCATATGAAAGGATATTTCTACATGTATCCCATCTACTATGATAAGTCTCAACTGTCAGTGATATTTCATGCACAGGAATTGACATTTGATTTAAAATTTGCACATGCATGCAATTGTCAACACTTAAATTGAGCTTTTGCTACTTATTTCTGCACAAAAAAGTGCCACGTTGTTCTCATTTACTGCCAAAATTTTGAAAATGCTATGGTAACAAAAGTGATCCCCTATGACATCTTTTTTCCATTTAGTATAGGAGGCAAGAAAAAACAAACTATTGAAATAGACCACATATAACTCACCTTTGCACCCTTCCTCAGAATACTCCCAGTGGTCAGGCAGACATGAGCCACAGTACTGACCACCCACACCATTTTTACAAGGACACTGTCCACTGACTTGGTCACACAGGTTGGACACAGACCCAGTCAAGTTACAGCTACACCTAGGACAACCTGCTATAATGTTACCATAGCCAGCCTGAAAAACAAAAATGGCAACAGAAGTTCGTGAAAATTTAAAAACAAGTTATTGTCAGTCTAGTTGACACTGAAAAATACACAATAGCCAAATCAACAACCCTACAGCCAAACTTCAAAACAAGATTGGCAACCAATAAGGTGTAAGTTTTAATACAAAAATCTTTGAACCCATTATAACAGAATGAGTTTTGGTGAGCAAAAGGTAAATGGTTATTATGCTTCAAACAGAAAATGAGATGTCATCCCAGTCGAAAAATTTCATCAAGATACATGTAAATATGTTGTATCACACCCCTGTGTGCTATGCCAAACAGTGTATACTCACCACACAAGAGTCACATGCCCTGCCTTCATAGTATGGTCTGCAGGAACACTGGCCTGACCTCTGATCACAGGAAGTACCTGTAGACCCATACTGGTTACAGTCACACTCTGGAATGAGGGTTCAAATTAAATCCACATGAAATTCTACTTCATGGGGTCAACATACCTCATACCTTTATATATCTTTAAAAAATTGTTTATCATTTTAATTGCGAAGGGGCTAGCTTTTTTTACATCAGAGCACTCATTCTTAGGACATGGAAACTGACAATAACACATTTACAGCATAATTTTTAGTTGCAAATGTGACTTGCATCATAGGTTAATTATTGGAACTTAAAAGGAGTCTGCATTGTTTGAAATCATTGTTTTGATAATTCCATACTATCATTTCAAAAGCAATTTCTGCATGCCAAGCACAAACCTTTACATCCCTTTCCATACACCATCCCATAATAGTCTGGTTTACATTGTGCACAGTTCCAGCCTTCAGTATTAAAGAGGCATTTGAGGCACTGTCCTGTCATACGATCACAATTGCCTACCGCGTTGGGATTGATGTTACCACTGCAAGCACAAGGCTGACAATAGTTGCCTGGGACCAAGGGGTTACCAAAGTAACCATCATCACACCTAAAAAAGAGAAAAAAAATTTGTAGCAAATACAAACTGTCACAACTCACACCCAGTCCCTCACATCTAACACATGCAATATTCAAATTCGCACAGGTTCAATGACGTATACTTATTCCCAACTGACATTTTTTAAGACCTGTTAAATACCTGACTATATATATCTATCTAAATATTTATCAAGTTTGATACAAACTGAAGTTCTCAGTGCATGTCCCATAGAGAAGGCACTTCAGTTTATTCAAGTGCAAACACAATGAATGAAGATAACCGCAGAATTTAAAGGATGTGATATTAACCTGGACTTGACCAGATGGAAAAAAACCTTCTATTAATTTAAGATAAATGAGACAATCAAATTTCTTCAAGTGTGTCTCATCTTTGAAGTGTAGAAACAGGAATACTCACATTTCACAATGGTTTCCAATATAGCCATCAGGGCAAGACACACAGAAGTACTCTTCCTGAGAGCCAGGGGGAGCTGCCATACAGTTCGATGCAAAGTTATTGGTGCTGATTGCCAAAGGACAAGCACATGGTCTGCAATCATTGGGAGTGCCTCTAGTAGCATTGCCATAATAACCAAATTCACAATTCTCACAATGTGGTCCTACAGTATTGTCTCTGCAACTCTGAAAGAACAAAGTGAAACATAGGAAAAATATCTGACAGTGATAATGATTTTAATGTTAAAACAGGTCTAGCCTTGGCTCATAGCATAAAAGTAAAATAAGTATTACTGTATGGCATATGAAAATAATGCTCGTTTTGTGACAAAATTCATACATTTTACATACATTTTATTTTGTTGCTATGGAATATCCTCTTACCATAATTTCTCTAATCTTTTCCATCAATCACTGGTACACGTACAATTACTTTTTAGATTCAACTTAAAATTGTATTCTTGAGTAGGATGTGACCGTGTTAGATACACGTGCTAGGTTTAATAGTGATATCTTGTCAAACATTCGGTATTGTACTTACAGTACAGAGCCCACTAGAAGCCTCACAGGTATCAGCATGGTTATTACAATTACACTGCTCACAAATTCCACCATACAGCACATCGTTCACACGACGGTGTCCACGCTCACACACCTGCAAGCATGATGAATGGCAAACAAAAATTACAACAAATATTTTCACCCAGGAGATCGCAAAGCACATCATAGTTAATAAACCCCAAGACCCAAACTTTTCCACTTCAATATTGAAATATAGATGAGATACCAACACAGCCAAGCCTGAGTATGTACATTATTATCTTTTTAAAGAGACCATTATTCATCATCTTATCTGTGTGGCTTATAACTGTCACACCACAATGATATGACACCAGTGCTAGCGGAGTAATGTAAACAGTTATCTTGATGTGGTCAGTTCTTCACAAACACAAGGACAGAGGCTGTCTGTGTTACTATCATCTACAACACCCCTGCTACGCAGGGGTCAAGACAAAATTTGAACATTGTTATCATTCAGATACACTACAGCTACGTAGTTAGCATGTGGATGGGGTTAATATTCTGTCATAAACATCTATATTAGTGAATCTACTGTAATCATTATAATAACAACTGGCCATGTCCCCTGTGTCCTTCTTAATGACTGGTTAACTAGAATGTATATGATGTCTGTTTTGGCATGTATGTTCTAAGTGACTCTATTGACATGCATTCTCCACTTTAAAAATCCCTGTTAGTCTGTGAACAATATCTGTTCTTTGTGAATTCTTAATGACTGCATGTAATCATGTATCTAATCTACAATATTGTTAAACAAATACATATAACATTGATTTAACAGAACAATAACCAATTATTAAAAATACATGTTAATACGAGTCCATATAATATGCAAGTACAAATAAGGAAACATTTATTTACGAATAAACACACATTTTCTATAATTGTTCAATGACTCACTTACATATGTTCATTAAAACAAGAGAAGACTTTTTACATTCAAGGTGAATCAGAACATAAACATCAAGCTAAGTATTAAGACTGTCTAGAGTAGATGCAAGTTAGAAAATATAATATAAGATAGTGGTAGAGGTACGAGTTGATTAGCTGACAGAACATCACAAGACAAAACAAGCAAATGCATAAACCCTTGCCCAAAACAAAATATAAAACTTAAAAAATAAAAAGCACTCAAAAACAAAATATCTACAAAATATCTACTTTTCTGACACCAATAAGTCATCAGTGTTATTTTCATTGATGTGAACACAAGACCATTCTACAATAACTACTTTTTGCCCTTTTGTTGACAGTTTTTGTTATTTTTCTAGTTTTCTATAATTGTCCCATTCTGAATGAGTTTTTTTTCTGATCCTAGATCACACACTGGTTACTCTTCAATGTCTCTCCATTTGACCAAGTAGTTAGCATCTTCTATAACTAAATGTTTTTATTTATTATTTTTGTCTCACAATCTTTAATTCCCTAACACTGACCAGTATCTGCCTTTCTGAACCTGAATATTGAATATTGCTTTCAATCCATCTTTACTTAAGTTATCTCAAATTCTAGGTTAAGCTACTGCTCAGCTATTTAAAAATTCCTGCACATTTTGCGCATCGCAACAGAGTCATGCATTTAGTTTCGTATTGATAGCACCAGCATTTACATGACAGTCTATTTCATTATCATTCTTTTAATAAGACATTTTTAGAACCTTAACCATAATTACAAATAAAAAATGCTGGTGCCACAATGATTCTGTTATTAACTGAAATTACAGCATTTGTAAAATCCCCATTTATGTTTTCACAAAAATCACCTGACTCATATTCCCAATATGTTTCTCTCCAGTCTCTGTCAACTGTTGAAAGGCAGGAAAGAAATAATCAACATGAAATACATATCAGAGTCATCTGTATAAATCTGTCCATCTCTTTCACATGATATTGTACAGTTCATAATTTTTTACCTTTACCTTCTTATATGTTCCTCCATCATCAAATGCATTAAAAATGATTAAATTTTTTTAGTCACAATGCAAAACCAATATATCTGATACATTATTCACAGTGATGTGCTGAACTGTTCTGTTTGCAGTCTTTAATACTTCTCCCCCCTTCGACATTCTTCCAGGCACTAAAATTATTTCAACTTCTTGTAGCTTGTGTTCACTTCCAGTTTGGTCACCTTCAGTATAGTACTATAACTTTAAAGACATTGGTTTCCCCCCATATCCCTTCCCCTTCCAAAATCTCTAAGCCAAAAACACATTTGAAAAAGACAACACAACACAATAAAAGTAAAGGGAACACATCACAAACAGATAAAGCAAAGCATGAGCATTATATATGGTGCAAACTCAAAGAAGCTAAAGGAGAAATGTCAAAAACACCACACAAAGCAAACTATACAAAGCCAGCAAAAAACAATTTAACTTGTTAAAATGAAAACAATAAAGCTTAAGCCTGCATATAAAATCTTAAATAATTTGAATATTACATTTACTTAAATTCTATGTTCTCCTTAGCATTCAATGAAGCCAAATTTTACATTTCATGCAACAAATAATAAAAAATCAATAACTTTCAAAAAAGGTTTTCAATAATAATGCCATATCAAACATAGCGTTACCTCACAAGACAAGCCTGAGTATCCTCTAGGACAAAAACACTGTTCTACAGAGGACATGATAGAGGGTGAGGTAGAGTTCTCCACAGCCACATCCATGGCCATATCAAGAAATCTAAAATGTTGAGGAAAAACACATGAAGTCATATCTGGTATGCATTTATAACATCATGATCTTACAGACAAAATATGTTGTTATTGCTTACACTTTTTACTTACCAGAATATCAATTAACAGTATATACTGATATGTGGAGGACACATATAACTATACATTATTGTAACTACTGTGGTATTTGAATTTCTAACTGCCCAATCATTTTGTGCCCAACTATAAAAGATGCACAGTGGTCAAACAATGGTAACAAAACAAAACAGCTGACAAAATTCTTACTGAATCTGTGTCTGGTGGATGTGATAGGACGCTCGTATCAGGAGGCGCTCAATGTTGGCCAACACAGTCATGAATTCTTGTCTGGTAACAATCTGTTGTTTTGGTAACCCTGTGTCAGGATCAACGTGATACCAGTCCCGTTCTGTCATGAAGACTTGCATAGTGTTCTCCAGTCCTTCCCTGTAGTACCGGCCTCCATAGCCAATCAGCAGCTCATTTCCCTATAAAGAATTACATGGTGCACTGGATATCTAAAGGTGGTAACATTTCAAGGACGGATACCTTATTTATGTGGAAGTTTAATCGATGCACTTTTCAAAATATTTACAAGCTGAATATTCTGCATCTGATCTTCTGACTTCTGATCAAAATAAATATACATACAGTCTATCATGGCTTTCATTATTCCACTACATGCATTGCTAATTCTCAGACAAGTATACATTCATTTCCCTTAGTATGACGTCTTCAGGTACACATTCTTAAAAAATGTTTTGCATAAAAAGTTCCTTACTTCCATTATTACATCCAAGTCTGCAGTGTAAGCTGTGTTGACATCTTCTAATCGCTGGACCACATAGTACATGGAATAGGTCAAGTTACCACCATAGGAGGCAAGCTAGGTAGAAAACAGGTTATGAAGTTAATATTCGATGCATAATCATGTAAAATATGAACATTTAAAGGTCATCCCAAACAGATTTTGCAGAATCCTTAATAAATTCTACTAAAAAATACATACATACAGTTGTGGCGTTAAGCCAGATATCATGATTCGAAAGTTTGATTGCTTGCATTCAAGAAAATAAGTAGCTATATAAATACTAGTTTTTGGAATTTTTTAATAAAAAATAAATACGGCAAGCAAATTCCTTGACAAATGGGACCTAAAGATGCATGTTTTTTCTCTTTCTCTCTCTCGAACAATCTCATTCAACTACCTCATTTCAGAACAATTTCATGAGACTTTAATTACATGCAGAATCTATAGTACTAATATATGACTGATAGTACTAATATATGACTAAGACAAACAGCAAAAAAAAAAATTCAACTAATCAGTCATGCTGGTTAATTCCTCAGCATCATGCATGTGATTACAAACTATGCAACATTAAGTAAGCCAGGTATGATACACAAAATAATTGGGTGTCAACCCCCTGGTATTTACAAAATTCTCAAAGATCAATTCACACCATAAATCTGAATATCAGAACCAAACCACTTGTTATAAGGTAGAATTTGGATGAAACAAACATAAAAAATATGCAAGTAAATAAATATATATTTATATATTTATATATAGCACACACCCCTTCACCAACTTCCACATGACTAAAAACAAATGATGGTTTTAAAAATCTTTTTTCATTTCTTTTCCAAAATAAATGAATAGTTTTTGAGCAACTTTTCACATGTTATCCAAACCCCATGAATTAAGAATTAATTTGCCAAACATCTGTCAAATTCAGAGGATTATAATATTTAAACATCTTATTTTTGTAAAAATAAAGATTAATCAAGCCAAGAGCATATAATACACAATTAGGGAACAAAACTTTTAACAGACAATATGACAAGACACTGAACACAAAAAATGCAGGCAAGACATGCTTGACATTTAACATAATCATATTTTTAAAAACCATGCAATTATAGCTTTAAAAGATCAGTGGGTAGCTTCACTATCAAAGCAAAAATCAAAGATTGTTATCTGTGAAATGAGAAACTGATTTGAAATTAGGCTTTACACTATAGCAATTGTCATAAAATGCTGATCTCCATATAATTGCTTCATTGTACATTATATCAAACACATCTTGTCTGCATCGAACCTGTCCCACTATATACAGAAACATTTACTGACTGATCCTGGAAAATGAAACAAATATCACAAGTCCCACTGTCCAATACTAGGCTACAACTGCTGCATGAGTGAGCAACCTAAGCACACAGCTAGCCACCTAGAATACCCAGTCTTACCTTGTTACCAAGAAAGTTAGCCTGGAGTTCAAAATAAGGTCAAAGGTCAGACTAAAAAATGTAGGTCAAAAGTCAAACTAAAATCAATAAACTAAGGATGAAACCAAGTTGAAATAGGTGTATACAGAAGATGACTATGTGCTTAATAAATATCTTACTAAGATGCTTTCCAAAGGCAATTGTAATATTGTGAAGATTTTTTTCTAAAAAAAGTGGTATATATATTTTTTTAATGTTTTCCAAATAGCTGTCAACTCCTGTACATCACCCAGTCATTCAAACCAAATAAAACCAACTACAACTAAAAGAAACATCATATCTATGACCCATTTAAAAAGAAACGGACCCCCAAGCAAACATGCCATATGCTTCAATCCATACAGAACTGTCAAAGCAAATCCTTCAGATAGCAAATATTTGTGTTAAAGCAAAAATTCCAAAATTAAATTTAAAAAGCAAACAAATAATTCTTTGCAAAATTTTAATTAAAACATTTCTGTATTTTAATTACAGAGTAAAAAAAAGCAACGTTTAGATTTTGTGACCAATTTTGATATTGCAAATGATTTTTTTATTTTGACTTTTTAATTTCTTATGTTTTCCTTCATCTCAAATACTGAAATCAAAGGGAGCATTTGCATGCAGTCCAGAATACCCTTATCCTATAATGCTAAAAACATTCAACTGGGATCTTTGAATATAATGGGGATCAGACAGGAAAATGCAATGGTCTACAAGAATATATATATGCGTAAAAACAAAGATCTAGCCAATATGCTTTTTGTGGGATATCTAGCAAGATAAATTCAAAATCCAAGCACTGGGCAGCATTACAGACTTGGAAGCCGAAGATGTCCATACACATATTTACCCCGAGTCACTTTAATGAACAATTTTGGAAAGGTGTTAGGTGTTCCTAATATCTTGAACATGTCATTGTGCCATATCTTATAAATTGTATGCTAGGTTTTCTTGTGTGTTAATGGTTAACATGTGCTAGATGTGCAATTGTTGGTGTTTCACTCTTATCATCCAGCCTATGAGCTGAATATTTAGTATGCTGACTGTAAAATGTGTTCCAATGTGTTAGGTGATCTAGTGTGTTACAGGTGTCGCTGTGCTGGTTGCACCAGGATGTTAAGATGTGGCCTAACATTTACCTTGCTGCCAGCATATGGGGCTGGAGCATGCCAATAATACACTGGATTCAGTCCTGCAACTTCTGTATTATCATGATCAACTGTCAGGCGACCATTTTCTAGACTGGGGACAACATATTTCTTTCCTCTCAAATCTGTCACTCTCCAGCCTTCCAGACTGGAAATCTGAAAAGATGAGTATAATTTATAAAAATACATATAAGAAAGTGATACAACCTTGAATGTAAAATATATAAAATATATTCCAATTAGACAAAGTCAACACATGTTATTACACTTTTTATGTAACATTTTGCATTTAAACACACAGGCAGGTTAGCAGGGGATGTTGCCTGACTCACATGGGTTACATTTTCAATAAACTCTATCCCTTTTATTAGCCTTAACTCTATTTTTCCCATAAAAACATACAATAATAAACAATCTATTGCTCTATTTAGGTTTTAAATTACAAACACAGATAAGATCAGAGTTAAAATGCAGACATAAATAAACAGTCACTTTATTCCTAAGCCACAGTGCAGACAGCCATAACTGACACTCAAGCCCCTGCAGTCACTTTGCCATGGTGTCACAAAGCAGTGGACTAACAGTTACAGAGCAGACGACAGACAGTGGGCCCTAGAGGGGAGGCACAAATTGCTAGTAATAACCCTGTAATGAGACTCTTTAGCCCCATTTATTACCATGTTTCCTTTAACTGCTTTTGTCTGTTTAAAAAACAGAAACCTTACCCACAGGAAATCTAATTGAATTGTAGACAACTTAAATTCAGTAAGGTAAATAAAAGAGAATATTTTGTAAAACATTCTACCCTTCATGACAGTGAGAACTAGAAATCCAATAAAAGTGCTGGTTTTACATTATCAAAAAATGTCCACTGATAATTTTAAGTATCATTTCAAAAGTCTTTTATTTGTGAGAAGAGTGAGTATTTGTTGTTGATATACAGAGCTGACTTGAAAACAAAGAGAGAAGCTCTCAAATAAGTATGACCTCATCACAGTGCATCACCATGGAATATAAAATTGGGGAAAAATTCTGAACTGGGAAATCATTTTTCTAAAGAATCACACTATTTCATGGGGCATGTCTATGAACAACTTATTCCTTACATTTGATATATGTAATTTCAAAAATCCTGAAGGATATTCACGAACAATAAATTAACTAATAAAAATGATGCTAAAGGCCATCTTCTGCAGAGAAATTAAAGCTGATCTTTCACAATATATGTAATGGATCTTGCATTCAGTTTGTGAATGAACATGGTAAGAGGTGGGAGGAGAATATTGTCCGATAAACCCAGAGGCAAGTGTGTCACCAGTACCTCTAATAACTACATGTCCTATGATAATACATACCTTTTACTGTCACCTGTCACTGCAATTTATACTTAATGCCAGTGGCAGTGGAAGGGGGTAGAGACACAGACACCATACTGAGTGATGCCTGTTACACCAAACAAAATATTTCTCTATTGATATGTTTTAGCTTGGTCATGTCATGTCACTTCATGGTCAATTTCAGGGAAGAGGACAGAAGTGAGGACACTCTTCCTAAAAGCCATTTCTAGTTATTTCTTCCTGTTTTATGTTGCTTAACTGAGGGTTCTACTTGTCCTTCATCCTATTCAACAGCACATCTGTCAACTATTTAGGTAGTGGTGGGGCTGAGTATTTATATACATAATTGTTAAGATGGTGATAGAGACTTCAACGTCCCTGCTCTTTTGAAACAAAAATTCATTGAAAGACGAGTTGGGTAAGGGTAAGAGATTTGAACTTGGTGTTATTTTTTTCTAAAACAGCCCCCAACATAAGACACTTACTTGTGACTGTCCCCATCCAGCACTTCGACAGTTCTGTGAGATACCAAAGCAGAAACACTGCATGCAGCCTGCAGGATTGCTGGCCTCCATGTTGAAGAATCCAGGTTTACACTGGTCACAGTTCTCTCCAACTACATTAGGCTGAAAAAAAAAGTGGTTATTTTATAAAAAATGTTTTATTTTTTT